GATGAGAGTTCACAACTGTAGAATCATTGTCTACACTGTCTGCAACGGCAATCCAAATACTGTGCCTAGAGACCCCATTTCTCCCCACCTACAGCATTCTACTCTAGGGAGAGAACGGACATCTGATTATGGTGATGCCAGGTTTATCCAGCACCTTCCACAAGAACTGCCTGAACTACCATGGATGGCTCTAAGCACTCTCCCAATCTGACCTCCGACCTTTGAAAGGCCATTCCAATGAGAAGAAGTTGGGAGGTATGGATGCTTGGCCCTAAGATAAAACTGTGATAAAATCTTCCAGGATTGGAGAAAAAAAAAAAAAAAGAAGTGGCTGTGTAATCACCCCAGCTTGTTTAAATAAGAGTGTGGAATGTGCTCACAAATCTTTTAACTCAGACCAGCTAAATTCTAAAGAGTTCAAAAACGAAGAGTAAACACTTAAACGGTTCTAAAGATTAGTGAGATAAGGTTGTTCTGAGGTCTCAGGCATTCTGAAACAAAGTTGGGAGAGGCAGTTGAGTCTGTTAGAATTTCAGGAGGTTACACATGTTGCATTTTTCTGGGGGCACTTTCAATATCAAATATCTGGCACTAGTGAAATTATTAGCTGGAATTTTGTTTCTGAAAATATGATCACAATTTTTCTTCTTTTCATTTTGTTTGTGCTTTGGGGTCAGGCTGGGGTATAGAAGTCAGAGCCTGGCTCATGCTTAACAATTTTAATTGATTAAGATGATCTACTCCAATATTCTTTATTTGTTTGCTTGCTTGCTTATTTATTTATTTATTTATTTATTTATTTATTTATTTATTTATTTATTTATTTATTTATTTTCTGAGTCAGGGTTTCTCTGGGTAACAGTCCTGGCTGTCCTGGAACTCACTTTGTAGACTAGGCTGGCTTCATAATTCACAGAGATCCACCTGCCTCTGTCTCCTGAGTGCTGGGATTAAAGGCCTGCACTACCACACCCAGTCAACTCCAACATACTTATTTTGAAAGACGTGAGCCCAGGTCTTGGGGAGATGGCTTAGTCAGAAAAGTGCCAGCTGGGCAGACATGAAGATGTGAATTTGATCACAGACTCCACAAAAAAGCCAGATAGATGGTGTATGTTCGTAATCCCAGTGCTGGGGAGGCAGAAGGAGACAGTTCCCTGGGTCCCTGGTAAACTCGCCTAGCTGAGTCAGTTAGCTCCGGGTTAAGTGAGAGACCCTCCCTCAAAAAGCAAGATGGAGGGCGGGGCGCAAAAGAAACCCCTGAGAGTGGATACTGCTCCTGCAGAGGACACTGGTTTGGTTTCCAGAACATACAAAGGGGCTCATAGTCACCTGTAACTCCTGTTTCAGGGGATCTGGTGCCCTCTTCTCGCCTCCAAGGGCTCCTGTATGCATATTATGTACATAAACTCATGCTGGCACACACATATAAACAAACAAACAAAAATAAATGAATAAATAAATAAATCCTTACAAATAATAAGTGCCACACATCATGTGGTCTCTCTCTGATCCACACCTTCGTCTTCCTTGGCCTTCTCAGCTAGAAGCCATCCACAAAGCCTGCACTCAGAGCATGAGGGAGCAGATCTTGCAATTCTGCAAGAGCATGTGGTGTCCCAGAAGCCATTCAGTGGCCCAGCACTACAGTGACAAACTAAAAAGACTCACTTCTCAACGTACAGTTGGCACTCTGTATTCTAGGTGCCATATCCTTGGATTCGACTGAGTTTTTCAAGATTTTTTTTTTTTTTTTTGAGACAGGATCTCACTAAGCAGCTCTGGCTGGCCTGGAACTTACTGTGTAGACCAAGTTGGCTTGGAATTCACTCAGGAGGCTGAGCACAGAGATTAAAGGCATGGGCCAACGCGGGTAGCTTAATTTAAAAAAAAATGTATATATGTGTGTGTGTTGGTATGTACATATGAGTGCACTCCTACAGAGGCCAGAAAAGGGTGTGAGATCCCCTGGAGCTAAAGTTACAGCAATGACGAGATGTCTGATGTGGGTGCAGAGAACTGAGCTTGGGGCCTCTGCAAAAGCAGTGCATGCTCTTGACTCCTGGTCCACCCCTCCAGCCAACTTTGATTTTTACAGTATTTGAAGAAAATTATGTTGTACTGAGATTTACTTTTTTGCTTTTTTTTTTAATTTTTTTTTTTTTTTGCTTTTCAAGACAGGGTTTCTCCTGTGAAGCCCTGGCTGTCCTGGAACTTCCTCAATAGACCAGGCATGCCTCAATCTCAGAGATCTGCCTGCCTCTGCCTCTGAGAGCTGGGATCAAAGACGTGTGCCATCACCACCTGGCTGAGATTTATATATTTTGTTGTCATTATTCCCTAGACCAGCATTTCTCAACCTGTGGGTCATGACTCTTTCACAGGGGTCACCTAGGACCACCAGAAAACACTGATATTTACATTATGATTCATAACAGTAGCAAAATCACAGTTATGAAGTAGCAATGAAAATAATTTTATGGTTGGGAGGGGTCACCACAACATGAGGAACTGTATTAAAGGGTCACAGCATCAGGAAGGTTGAAAACCACTGGTCTAGACAATACAATTTAACAAAGCTTGTCCATTGTATTAGTATCATAGTCCAGAGACACGTTCAGTATACAGGATAGGTATACACAGTATACAGTATACAAGCATAGGTGTGGATATTACACCATGTACACGGGGGATGGGAGGATCCTGGGGTTTGAGTATCTGTCGGGGTCTTAGAACAACTCCCCCATGAACACTGAGAAAGGACAGCACCCTTAAAATCAGTTGAGGAAACCTGAAATTGTTTCCCTCCTGTCCAATCACAAAGAGCCTCAGGATCATACTCTACCAGGTGGGAGGGCTGGACATTTGCCTGATGTCTTTTTTTTTTCTCCTGTCCTTCCTGCATACTGCCTTGACCCTCAAACCACATGACTGGGGCACTCTGTTCACATTTGTCAGCCTTTCCCTTTGAGGAACTGATTGGTGTTTTCAAAACCCCCAACTTCTGGCTATAGTCTTGTTCCTAATAAACTGATGGTCCAGAACAAAGGTGCTCTGCTTGTCCACCTCTGAGGACTGGGTGTCCTTCGGACACTGTGCTTTGGTCTGCTCCCTGTTCCCTGGGGAGCTCGTCTGACCATAGGGTCATTTTGTCTGGCTCCATTCCCTTGGGCTCTTGGCCCTTCTCTCCCCATTAACCCACAATGCTAAGGATACAGCTCAGCTGGGTCAACGCACCACAATCTGGTCCTTTTCCCATCTAGATTTTAAGATAACCTTTAAAAGGTTGCCGGGCAGTGGTGGCGCACGCCTTTAATCCCAGCACTCGGGAGGCAGAGCCAGGTGGATCTCTGTGAGTTCAAGGCCAGCCTGGTCTACAGAGCAAGATCCAGAACAGGCACCAAAACTACGAACAAACAAACAAAAGGTATAGACAAAACTGACTATAATCTTAGTACCACATCATGTCCTCCCAACCCAACCATTCCTTACTCTCTTGGTACATATATTTCTCTCATTCTTCAGCAAGAGACCAACTGGTTTAAGAAATCCCCAGACCAGCGCGTGGAGAGAGGGCTCACTAGGTAAAAGCACTTGCTACTCTTTCGCAAGACCCAGGTTTGGTTCCCAGAACCTACAAGGTGGCTCAAAACCATCTGCAACTCCAGTTCTAGGGGATCCACTATCTTCAGACCTCCATAGGTTCCAGATCTGCTTGTGGTGCACATACATACATGCAGGCAAAACATTCATACACGTAAAATAAAATAAATAAATCCAAAAACTAAAAAGAAGTAATTCTCAGATCAGAAATAATTTTTAATCTTTTTGATGTGTGCGTGTGTGTGTGTGTGTGTGTGTGTGTGTGTGTGTGTGTGTGTGTGCAGTTGCCTACAGAGTTCAGAAGAGGGCACAATCCCCTGGAGTTACAGGTGGTTATGAGACACCATGTAGGTACTGGGACCCAACCTAGGTCCTCTGCAAGAGCAGCACTCTTTTTTGTTGTTGCTGCTCGTTTTGTTTTGTTTTTCAAGACAGGGTTTCTCTGTGTAGCCCTGGCTGTCCTAGAACTAGCGCCGTAGGCCAGACTGAAATCACAGAGATCTGCCTGCTTTTGCTTCATAAATCCTGAGATTAAAGGCATGTGCCACCACTAGTGGGTGAGCAGCATGCTCTTAACCACTGAACCATTTTCCCAGCCAGAAGTAAGTATCTGGGCTAGGGATAGAGCTCAGTGAGAGACCATTTTCTCAATATGTGTGAGGCCCTGGGTCCCATCCCCAGCACAACCAAACAAAACAAAAACAGAAACTAAAGATCAGAGAGAGTATCTAAGTAAGAGAATAAAGAGCTCATTTGGGCGTGGTGGTGCACACCTGTAATCCCAGCACTTAGGAGACGGAGGCAAGAGGATTGGGAGTTCAAAGTCATCCTTGGATACATAGTGAGTTTGGAGCTAGCCTTGGATATACAAAATCTTGACTCAAAAATAAATGAATAAAAAGAATGCTGGGGATTACAGGTGTATATTGACATGTCTGGCTGTTATACAAAATTTTAAACACAGAGACACACTCATATGAATCATCCAGCCTAGTCATCCAGCCCATATTTAGGAAGCTAAGGGGAGATTGCCAGGGAGCTTAAGGCCAGCCTACATAGTGAGTTCTAGGCCAGCTTAGGCTACAATGAAGACCTATCTCAAGAAAACAATTAAAAGCCGGGTGGTGGTGGCACACACCTTTAATCCCAGCACTCAGGAGGCAGAGGCAGGTGGATCTTCTGACTTCAAGGCCAGTCTGGTCTACAGAATGTGTTCCAGGACAGCCAAGGCAACACAGAGAAACCCTGTCTTCAAAACAAAACAAAACAAACCCTCGCAATTAGAAATACATATAATGTACATATTTATTATTTTATCTTAGTACACTTATTTTTGTAGGTGTACAGGAGTGCCCATGTACCATGGCGCACAAATGGAAGTCAAAACACAAGTTGTAGAATTCAACTCTCCTCTTCTACTGTGAGGGTCCCAGGGATTGAACTCAGGTCATCAGTCTCTCCAGCAACCTTTACCTGCTGAGCCATCTCCACAGCCCAGGATATATACATGTTCATTTCTATTGTGTTGAGTTTACTGAGTACAGTGGGTAGATGAGTCGGTTATTGACTTGTAGGTAACTGAAGGTCCATTTAGAATGACAATCACTAACTACTTTGTTCTAGGGATGTGCTTGTATCACAGGGCTGCTTCAGACTCCGTTCTGCGATGCCCACACCTCACTGGTCTGCATACAGCCACAGTTCTTCTTCACACGTCTCAGGTCCATCCCCTTCTACTCCTCTCCCACTTCCGAGTTTGGGGAACCTTGGCTGTCTCCTGCTTGTGGGACAGGATTCTGTATTTTGAGATTCGGTGGGTTCCCCTTCCATCGGCTTCTCTCTCCTCCTCTCCGTCAATCAGACGGTTAGCTCAGAGCTATCATCACGAGAAGTCTGGTACAGTGCAGAAGGCAGAAGCAAGCAGAGCAACCTGGCTTCATGCTTTCCACAAATCCAAGGAGCCTGAAGGAAAATTACGGGGTTTGCAGAGGAAAGAAAGTTATTTACAGTACAGATCGTGTCTACGGAAGAAACAAAGCTCCTTGGTGAAGGCAAAAGGTGGTGGGGGTGGGGGGAAGACCTGACCCAGATCAGCAAGGAGCCTGGTTCTGCCTCCTGGTAGATTGCAAGTCCCCAGGAAGGGGTGTCGGCTGGATGATCCAGCCTGGGTAGACACATTCGTAAAGATATCCTCATCCCCGGATGTGACACAATTACTGTAGCAGCATTGCTGGGCTGTGAGGGATCATGCAGGCAGGGTCAGTGGCTTCATGAGTGGTATACCACATGCCACTCTCCAGTCCTGTCCTGAGTCCAGTCCTCACTGAGTGAGAGCCTGGGGTCCCTGCTGGTGAAGAAGGGACTCGTCAACCCTGCCAACTGAGGTTAAGTCTGCTGGATGGGGCATTACTGAGCCTCAGAGATCTGGGAATCAGCTGGTCAAGGTCACAAGGTTGTTAACAAATTGACTAAGCAAGGTCAGGCCTGTGTGCTTGATTACTCTGCAGGACTGCAGAAGTTCTGCGCCTTGGGACCTCCACCAGCTCTCAAGTAGCAAACGGCATTCTTTGCTCTGCAAAGTATGAAACTGTACCGTGAGTTCTTGCTTAGGAGCAGCTTATCAGGGGGCTGAGGGGTTCTGTGCTGACCAGCAGGGCTTCAGCTCCACAGGTTTCCCCTAGCCTCACAAAGCTGTGTGACAATGCCAGGGTTCTGACTTCCCATCTGTGAGCTGGAGGCACAATACCTCTCTACCTCAGCAGACCCTGAGAAGTCTGAGAGAAGGAGTGGAGATGACGTAAGTGTCCTGTACAGAAAATGTCCCCTTTTGAGAATAATATCAATAAGCATGTGAATGGTAGCACTTTAACCAGCCCCAGGTCTTGCTGGACCTTTGAGGACAGTCAGTTCTGGGAGGTTGAGCTCTCTGGTGTCCCTGACTCAGCAACAGCCTGCTCCTCTTTACTAGAACATCTTGTCTTTGTACTTTCCATTCTCAAATTCCTATTGGTCTTCTCTATCTCTCTCTTCTCTGGTCAGGTCTCCGTCACCCTGGCTGGCTTTGAACTCACAGAGGTATACTTGTCTCTGCCTTCAGAGTACAGGGGATCAAAGGCGTGTGCCACCACACCCAGCTGATCTAAACTCAACTGAAGATGTCACTTATCTTGAGGATCTTCCTGGACCACATCCTATCTAAGCATCTGGGTAACACAGTCCTTCCCTTGGAAGTTACACTCTTCATATTAGCATTGAGATCTCCTAGTCATTAGCCCCCTGCCCCCTAGCCTTCCCTTTCAGTCTTCCCCAGTTAGCCAGGTGTGCTGACTCACATCTGTAATCTCAGAACTCAGGAGTCAGAGGCAAGAGAGTCACCCGAGTTCAAGGCCAGTCTGTACTACAGAGTGAGACTGTGCTTTAGTCCACAGGTCAGACCATCTCTTGGCTCTCACTGGAGAAACTTCTTCTTGCTATAGATGGCAGTTACCACAGAGGCCCTCCAATGGTCAACAAGCAGGGATAAGAGGCTGTGAAGTACCCGGCCCTAAACGGGACATACATATCACACTCCTCCTCCCAATGCTCGGAGGAGAGAGAGTGGAGAGAGTCTGAGAGCAAGAGGTGCTCAATAACACCAAGGACAGTGTTTTCCAGACAGAAGGAGGGAAATTGACCATATGAACTCACAGGGACTGTGATGACATGTGTTAGAGCTGTGCACCTCAAGCCAGACAAAATCCAGGCACAGAGGGAGAAGGTGGGCATGAAATCCCACGGCTAGCTGAGGAACTCTCGGCATTTGATCACTGTTGGAAGAGGAAGAGTCAGTTCTCTTTAATTATGTGACTCCCAATAAGTCCACCATACACCAGGGCATCTCCACCCCTAAGTTTAGCTGGACAATAAAAACTGGACTTGAGGGGAGGGGGAGAAGGCGGAGGAGTAGAAACAAGTTGGGTGGGAAGGGACGGGAGGGTAGAGAGAGGAATTGTGAGAGGAGTTGTGGGGGGGAATATGTTCAAAATACATTGTATGGGATTCTCAAAGAATTAATAAAAGTATAATTTTTATATAATTATATATAATTTTATTATATAAATTTTATATAATAAAAGTATAATTCTCAAAGAACTAATAAAAGTTTAAAAAGAGACCAATGAATTAAACTACCAAGCTCCTTAAGAGTGGCATACACTTACTGTACCAATCTGCTGGACACCAGACCTTAGCCACACATATTGGTAACGTATCCACTGTTTCCCAGAGTGGCAGCGTGGCTGACTCAAGAGCTGCGACTCACTGCCACCGCCCAGCATCCTGAGATGGGACTGCAGAATGCAAGCCCTGAAAAAGAAGAAACGGCACAAGTCAAAGTATGGTTTGTACTGAGTAGAAATCCCTTCTGGATCCCAGTTAGGATTCTTGGAGCATGCGCGTGTGTGTGTGTGTGTGTGTGTGTGTGTGTGTGTGTGTGTGTGTGTGTGTGTGTGCTTGTGTGCATACTGGTTATATACGTGTGTGCATTTGTGTGTGGTAGCCAAAGGACAACTTCAGACGTCATTCCCCAAAATGCTTTCCTCCTTGAGACTAAGGATCTCACTCCCCTTGACAGGCTGACCAGTTAGTCTCAGGATGCTCTTATCTCTGCCCCCAGTACCACTCCTGGCATTTTTACGTAAGTTCTTGGACTCAAACTTAGACTTTCAATTTGCAAGAAAAGGCTTTACAAGCGGAGCCCTCACCCCCCAGCTCTTTGTGATGGTTTGATTTCATTTTCTTTAATTTTTTTATTTTTCTTTCTTATGTTACAGTGGTTCAAAATGTACCCATCCAGCCTGTTTGTTCTCTCTTGCTTTCAGTACAGTAATTAAGATATAAGACATGCTCATTTAAAAATAAGCCTTGTGTTAAATGATTTGCCCAGCTGGAGGCTAGCATATGTGTTCTGAGCAATTTAAGTAGACTAAGTATGATGCTTGGTAGATTATGTGTATTAAAAGCATTTCTTTTTTATTTATGCATGTCTGTGTTCGGGTATGTGCAGCTGAGTGCAGGAGCCCATACAAGTTGGAAGAAGGCACTGGATCCCCTGGAGCTGGAACTGCAGGCTGTGAGCTGTGTGGTGGATGCTTGGAGCTGAAAATGGAAGAGCAGGGAACACTCCACCTCTGAGCCACCTCCCCATCCTCTAAATGCTTTCAACTTACAATGGGTTTATCAAGACTTAACCGTATTGTAAGTAGAGGGATAGTTGTACTTGGTTATCTGGTTTGTTTGTTTGTTTGTTTTGTTTTGGGGAAACAGAGTCACACTGTATAAGTTCAACTGGCTGAGAACATGATGTCTTTCTGTCTTAGCCTCCCCCACGTAAGGATTACAGGTGTGTATTACCATGCCAAGTCTGAATATCTTTTAAATGAAAGAAACTTCAAATATGCCTTCTGACTCATCCAAGGTTCATTTTTAGCCTTAATAGTCTCAGAGAAAACATTTATTTTCCTAAAATTAGTAATATATCTGTGCCTTAAATCAAACACAGCTGGTCACCAGCCTCCTGGAATTAGAGCCTAGGCTTGGAACAAGTCTGATAGTCCTTTGACAGTCCTTCCTTGTCCCTAAGGAAATTCTTGGAAAATATTTCCTGGGCCATTCAGATAGCTTAGTAGGAATAGGGGCTTGCAGCCAGGTCTGGCTATTTGAATTCAATACCCAGGGATCACGTGGTTGAAGGAGAGAGCCAACTTCTACAAGTTGTCTGTCTTCTGACCTCCACACTGCCCACCCATACATATAGGCATAACTACACATAAACAAAAAAAAAATGTAGTAAGCAAAATCAACCTAAAGAATGTTTCTGAGTAGATGATAAGCATGATCTAGCTTACACTGTATGAAGTCTGAATGTTGCCCATGAATGGGTGCTGAAGAGTTCCACACACAGTGTAGGCACTGAAAACTTTTCCTCTTAGAAGCAATCTAGGATGATCTACGAGGCTTGATGTCAGAGCTATGGGATGGCCAAGTGCATCTGGAATCTGGATTCTCTCCAGCCCTGCCCTCAATTGTTCACAGCCCCTAATAGAAAACAGTAAATAGTCCCAAACTCAGTCCTGGTTTCTACTCAAGTCAATAGACGTGTGATGAGCTCTCCTTACCAGACTAGTGAGAAGTTAATGAACTTAGAAGTCGCCCAAGCCCTGAACCAGCTGCTCTAAGCATGCTTGAGATCCATTAGTTGTAGACATGGTGAATGGTGAATGATGGGAGAAATGCAGTTATTCACAACCAACAGTCTTAGATTAAATCCATCCCACCCCACCATGACAAGCAGCTGGGCCATTACAAACTACAGAGTTCCACTTTAGCTAATGTATTTTGTTTGCCTGACACCCTCAAGAGCCATCCCTCTGCAGAGCTAATACAAACAGATGATATGCTGGTTTTGTTATATGCTAAGTCAGAGCACTAAGGCCTCCCATAATGCTTTAGAAGACTGGTCTCCAGAGACAGTTGCATGCATGCATACACACACACACACATACACACACACACACACACACACACACACACACACACACACACACACACAATATAACATGTAGCACAAATTGGTCTTAATAATAAAAACCTGGAATCAGATATCAGGGTGAAAGCTGAAAGATCAGAGAGGCAGAGCAGCCAGCCACTAGGAAGACTTCTTACCTCTAGGAATCCTCAGATTGAAAGGGGCCAAGCTCCTGTCTCCACCTCACCTTATCACTTCCTCTCTCTGTCCAGCCATATCATTTTCTGTTTCCTCTTCCCAAGTGCTGGGATTAAAGGTGTGTGCCACCACTGCCTGGCCTCTAGTGGCTGGCTAGCTCTGCACTCTGATCTCCAGGCAAGCTTTATTTGTTAGAGCACAAACAAAATACCACCACATTTCCCCTTTTTTGTCCAAAATAAAAAAAGAATGTTATAACTAATATAAGAAAAACTGTATACATTAAGTACAATAACTATATGTAATATATACAGGCAATAAATACATCAACAGTGTCTAGTCCATAAACATTTGACAAATTCAGAGAAAATACTCTATTATCTATCCTGTTTTAGTGAATCCAAAAGGTTGTACCTAATTCACTTTCTATTCTAACTTGTATTACCAAAATTACCTTTTTATGTTTCTCAACCTTATACAGTTTACATTTCTTTAGCGAATTTCTTTTCTGAATCTGTTAACAAGGAAAAATTATAACCTTAACTATCTATTCTTCAACTCCATCAGAGACCCAAGAAGGAAATAATATTACTGGAGCAAGCAGGAAGTACAAGCAAGCAGCTTGTGTGAAACGGCAGAGACAGCTGGCTGCCTGGACAGTCCAAGCTTCCTCTGCAATGTCGGGGCATTCGTCTTCGGCCTACAGGTCTAGCACGTCTGACAGACTTATATGTGAAGCAGGATTTTCTGAAGGGCTATCTTACCTTGTCTTGGGAAAGTTTGGCAGTCCTTTTTTTGTGTGTCCTGCTTGTCCCATTTGGACAGCATACTGTCAGCAGTCAAGGCAAGAGAATTTTCTTGCCCAGTGGCTAACTTTTATCACAAAGAAACTAAACTCCACATGGAGTTTCTTCAGTGCCCATCATCTTCTCTGAAGTAGATTGATGCTGCCAGAAGTAGACATGTCTCATTGTCATAAAAAAAACAAAAAATAAAAAACAAACATGTTATTAAAACATCTTAAGTGCCATATTCTGTAGATCTCTGAAGTGTTTGAAGACCACTTGTCTATCTAAAATATATCTCTGTTTGACTTTGAAAACACACCTAATATGACTACAAGTATGATTGTAATAGGTAACGAATTACTAATCTGCATTTCCTTATTATCCTAAATAGTTGGTAATAACTTTCCGGGACTAGAAATTTACATTATATTGTTAAATGAGCTGTATAGGTACAATACCTTGAACAAGATTAGAAACGTATGTACAGTATGTTCTAAAAAAAATCGTAAATTTGTATCAATATACAAAAATCTGTAACAATATGAAATATTTAAAACAAGTAGTTGCTTTTTAAAAGTAGATTCAATAATCTACCTTTTTATTCTATTATTTCTATATCTTTTTTCCCCCAAAACAGAACCTGAATCTAATCTCCTTTGTTCAGCACTTTTTTTTAACCATTATCAATAACAACTTATAACCAACCACCCTAAACAATGACTAATATCCATAACCTACTGGATGACAAAAAAAACCCCACACACCCACCTCTTGAGAATGTGGGTGTCATGTTCTTAAAATTACTTCCTGCTGTCTGAGGATTACAACATCTTTAGGAGATGCTGAAAAGAAGAACTTGGGTTAATTGTCAAATCCTGGGAGAGGTAGCTGTATTATTTGTTGTCCAGTCTCTGTGTAATTGGAAAGTCAAGTCCTAGCTACAGTAGTATGTGAGGTTGGATCATCTGAGCTAGCCACCTCAAGATTGTCCTGATCAGTTTGTAGTCCAAAGCTGATCTTGAGGTGGTGTTTTTCAGCTTATATAATAATATAATATTAGTGGTATAATAGTCCTGGTGGAATCTTTATTGTGGGGCCCCATCATCTTTTTGGAGACTTCAAAGGTTGCTATTAGGTGTGGTCATGATTGCAGAAAACTTAAACATTTTAAATGTCATATGCAGCAGATCTCAAAGAGGTTAAAGAATAAATATTTGTGATGTGTACACCCAGAGTACAAAAACTTAATGCTTAGTTACCTGATAAAGACTCAAACCTGAGAGCCAGGCAATGGTGGCACAAGCCTTTAATCCCAGAACTCAGGTGGCAAAGCCAGGCTGATCTCTGTGAGTTCAAGGCCAGCCTGGTCTACAGAGCAAGATCCAGGATAGGCACTAAAACTACACAGAGAAACTCTGTCTTGAAAAACCAAAAAAAAAAAAGAGACTCAAACCTGAAATCAAGTACAGGAAGCTAGATGAAGCCTTTTTCTAGAATTAGTTAGTATGCTATATGACGATTAATATCATGACAAAAAGTTTAAATATATATTTTTTTATATATATACCTATACTAATCTTATTAATTTTGAGATAATATTTATACCTTAAGAAAAGCTTTAAAGAGTCAAAATAAAACCAAAAGATTTTGAGATTAGTAACAATAGAGTAATCCCTAATTTTGGTTTTTCTTCTGTCCTATACCAGATGGCTTTTCTAACATGAAACAGAGATTTTGGATTTTACTTTAACAAGCATGCTTGAGTTTAGAGAAGGAGAGAGCCACACTCCAACTCCAAAGCCAGCTTTAATATTTAATTGGACTGGGATTACAAAAAGACCATT